CAGATCTTAACCAGAAGCTTTTAAAAGTAGAGATGCTATAACTTAGATGCCAAACAAAATTAGCCAGGAAAATAAAAGAATAGTGAGACGGGACCAGCCTTATAAATATTAAAATATTATAAAAAGCCTCAGTAATTAAAATAGAGTTGCTGGCACATGAATAAACAGACAAATAGAACAGAAGTAAAAGTTCAGGGGCTTTAGATATGATAAAGATGGCATCTCAAATTAAGATGTAGGGAGAGGATAGACTATTCAAGAAAGGTGTGAATCAACTAAATAGCCATCTAAGTAGGAAAAAAAATTAGATCCCTACCACATGCCCCATGTCAGGATAAATTCCAATCGGATCAGAGATGCAAGTATAACTATTAAAACCCTATAAGTATTAGAAGAGAAATGGAAGAATTATTATATAATCAGGGTGGAAAACTCTAATTGAAAACTATAAAGATTTTGAATTTGACTATATAAGAATGAAATATTCAGGATATCAAAGAAGTATATATCATAGCTAAAAAAAAGAAAACTAGGGAAAAATTTGCAGCTCATATCACAAAAGGCTCCTTTCTGTAATATATAAGGAGTACCTAGAAACTGATAAAAGATCAAGAAAGAAATAAGTAAAGGATAGGAATAGATAGTTAACAGAAATGATGCTCAGCCCCACTCAAAATAAGAAAAATATAAATTAAAACAGTGAGATAGCATAGTTTACCTATCAGACTGGCAAAAACAGAATTGTTTGATAAATACATTGTTTGATAAAACTAAAGGGAAACAGGTTCTAGCAGACATTGCTAATGAGTATAAATTGTATAATCCACAGGATAATGTGGCAACACACATCAAAATTTACAGAGACATATTCTTTTCTTTCTTTGTTTTTTTAGACAGGGTCTTGTTCTGTCACCTGGCTAGAGTGCAGTGGCATCATCATAGCTCACTGCAACCTCAAACTCCTGGACTCAAGTGATCTTCCTGCCTCAGTCGCCTGAGTAGCTGGGACTATAGGCATGTGGCACCACAACCAGCTAATTTTTCTATTTTTTTACAGAGATGAGGTCTCCTTGCTCAGGCTGGTCTTGAACTCCTGACCTCAAGTAGTCCTCTCACCTTGGCCTCCCAGGTGTGAGCCATCAAACACAGCCTGTATATTCTTTCTGACACAAAAATTCTACTCATAGAAATGTAACCTACAGGTACATATGCACATATGCAAAACAATGTATTATGAGATTATTTTTTACAGTTTTTAATAGAAAACGTTTGGAAAAAATCAAAATGTCCATCAATTAATAGGAGACCAGTTAAATTAATTATGGTACACTAAGACAATGGGATACTATGAACATGTTTTTTAAATGCTGAAACTCTTTAAGTATCAATATGGAAAGATTTTCAAAACATGGAAAGTAAAAAAAAACACGGTGCAGAACAATACAAATACTGTTCTACCATTTCCACAAAAACAGGAGGGGAAATATAGTAAATATTTGTATTGGATTGTTGAAAAAGTAAAAATCTCTGGAAGGATAACTAACAACTAATACTAATAACAGAAACGACATAAAACTAATTTGGGGGTGGCACAGGAACTAGAAGGAAGAAGAAAAGGGTAAAAGAAGAATTTTCACTGTATATCATTTTTTACATGTACATTTTTAGAGACAGAGTCTCACTACACTGCCCAAGCTAGCCTTGAATTCCCAGCCTCAAGCAATTCTCCTGCCTCAGCCTCCCATGGAGTGGGGACTACAAGTGTGTGTCATGCCACCTGGCCATTTTATATTTTCAATGTTAAAAAATATATATTTTTTAATCAAAGAAGTCTTTAAGAAATAAAAATACAGACAACTAGGTTCCATTCCCAGGGAAATTGAATTTATAAGTCTGGAGCAAGCCTAGGCCTATATAATGTTTTAACAAGTTGAGAGCCATTACTATAGAATTTCCTAAGCCAATCATAAAGGCTTTTCATGACACTGACAAATACTGTTTTTTTGTCTTTGTTTTATGTTCTTGTTTGTTTGAAAAGACTGGGGTTGGGAGTGAGGGGGGATTCACTATGTTGCCCAGGCTAGACTCAAAAGTCCTGGGCTCAAGTGATCCTCTTGCCTCCAAGCTCAAGGCGTGGGATCACAGGCATGCACCACTGCACCCAGCTATGTTTTATTTTTAACAGATAGGGTTTCAGTAGGGAATACATTAATAATCCTTAGGGGATCTGGAGGCTAAAAGAAGAGTGGACATACTGAGAAAACATTACAACAGAGGTGACTACAGATTTCTAAAACAGATCTGCCTTCTGTCATCTCCACAAGCAATCTGTACTTCACTTCTCTCAGAAAGAATGCCTTTAGCATAAACACATTTTATTCAAAGCTACCTGAACTTCATGGCTGTTCATTTAAGTCATCATTTTTTTTTTTTAGAGCAGAGCCTCGCTTTGTTGCCCAGGCTAGAGTGGTGCTTGGCATCAGCCTAGCTCACAGCAACCTCAAACTCCTGGGCTCAAGCAATCCTTCTGCCTCAGCCTCCTGAGCAGCTGGGACTACAGGCATGCGCCACCATCGCTGACTAATTTTTTCTGATATATATATAGTTGGCCAATTAATCTCTTTCTATTTATAGTAGAGACAAGGTCTCACTCTTGCTCAGGCTGGTTTCAAACTCCTGACCTTGAGCAATAAGGCCACCTCGGCCTCCCAGAGTGCTAGGATTACAGGCGTGAGCCACCGCAGCCGGCCTAAGTCATCATTTTGACTTGCCTACAAGGCTAGGTAAATCACAGGTACTAATTTGTGGCTTTAAAACCATAGCTAGACTCTTCATTACGAAGAGTCAGGTTCAATAAAGAGGAGTCATTTGGGAGATTGTAAAAATTTAAAAACCTACCACACAGAAGTCTGTGGTAAACAGTTTAGGTAGAATCAGTAAGTAAATAATTCTATAAAACATCCATACTCAGGACAGGGTAAAATAGTATCTTACTATTTTTCTGAAGTAGGGGTAGGAGAGAAAAAGATACTATGCTTTGTAC